CTGCGTTCCCTGGCCTGCGACGCCCTCCTGCAGGAGAGCTTCTACCAGAATAAGAAGCGGCCGTTCCTCTACCGCGACCAGGATCACACCCCTGGGCCGTTCCTTACGCAGCTCGTCTCCACCCTCGCCGCTTTCCTGTGCGGTCGCAACCCGCTGCTGGCTGCCTCCTCCCTTGGTGTGGAACGGGGGTGGGAGGGAGAGGGAAGTGGGAGCCCTTGGGCGGGGGGGCCGGTCTGCGAACCCGGCAGGAGTGTCCCTGGTGTAGCTGAGTTGTTCAGACCATCACTAGTAATTCAGCTTGTCCCCATCGTCCCACATGGTGCGAGTGGATTTTGGTTTTTCTGTTTTACTGCAGCTACAGAACAAGAATTGGGAGGGGTTTAAATGCAAAAGGGCGATCTCTATTTCTCTCTATCCCTCTGTTCTGTTTCAGATCTAAAACCTGAAGTTAACTACTACTGGCATCACGGTGAGGAAGTTGTTGTTCATGGACATCGAAAGGGTAGAGTTGATCCTGTGCGATTTCAGATAGATGATAACCCACACCTCCAGATCCGTGTACCAAAGCAGCTTCCAGAGGTGTGGATATTTTCAACAGCAAGTTAATCACACGCATTTTCACTTATGTTTCTGACTGCCACTGAAACCATGCAATAGGTAGTACGTGGAGGACCTGGTTAATTGGGCATGTAGCACATTTGTGCATTTTTCAAGTCTTAATGCCCTTACTACCTTGTAAGCGCTTTGAAGTTCAGAAGACTCTCTCAATATCTACAAGTTGGTTATCTGTGTGCTTTAGATAAAATGCATGTTGTTACACTTAATTAAATGGAATTTTTAACCTTTTATGCTTGTAAGTGGTGGCAAGAATAAGAAATGTGGTGTGGAACGTTCTCTCAGTGGAGGAGAATAAGAGAAATGGAGAAGAAAAGAATGGCGTAAGAGAGAGAATATATAATCTGAATGTGAGCTCTGTTACCTGTTAGTACTGCTTTACAGTTGTTTTCTTGAATGCTCAGTTTTCTGGAAGCTGATTCAGTATTCTAATCTTTTTCTTGTAGGTTTATACAGTGGTAATTGTGTAGCCTGTGAGTGTCTGTTGCCCAGTTTCCACTACAAACAGAAAACTGTGCTCCATTTTCTGGAAATGCTAAACACTTCTTGCTAACTTAATTGTACAATTTTCTTAGGTTAATACTGTCAGATGTTACAAACCTTGGCATTTTGGGAGAACTGTCTAGGCAATCAAAAATGTTACATAGTGCAAAACATTGAATACCTGTAAAACCACTCTGCTGGTTCAAGTTAGTTTATTGACTGCTGCTAGAAATGTTTTTGCTCATCTTCTACAGAAGCAGGTTCTGGTTTTGAAGATAGTACCAATTGGCAGCTTTGTTAGCACCATTTCACACAATGTTTTTTGTATATCGCAGAAAATTCAGACATCAATGTAAGATGCGTGTACTAGCATTCATCACAAGACAAGAAGTTCTGTTGCAAAAAGTCAGTTTTGCTTAAAGTTATATATATGGTGTATGTAAGCAAGACTTACACTTTCTGCTGTCTCACCAGAAAGTGGCATGTTATATGAGGCCTGATGTCAGAAACGTGACTTACGTCATGGCTTTTTTTTCTTCTACTTCCTTCAAGATTGTACCGCTGGAGTCAGATCTTGGAGATGTTCCTGTTATTGATCACAAACCATCCAAACTGCCGTTGTTCAAAAAGCAGTACGAAAACAAGGTATATATAGGTAAGAGTTTCAAGTCATGAAATGTTAACTACTTCTTTTGCATAAAAAAACCAAAACGACACTCCCCCCAATACCAGCCCTTCTGACCTTTCTCCTCCCATCAACAGAAAAAAAATTACGTATTTTTATATATAACTATACTATATAAATATATATAGTATATAAATCTCTATTGAGATTCCATGTCAGTTAGGCAATAGGAGGGGAGTAGCATCCTCCTGTGGGTATAGTACTCTGTCCAGATTTGCTTGAAGGAGTTGGGTTGAACAGAAAATTGCCAGAAAACTGGCTTTGAATTTTGATACATCTCGTCAGAGACATTTTAGTATGTGATCTCTTGCCCTTTGGAGTTGGGCAAGCCCTCCAGTCTCACTGAGAAATGGAGGAATCTCAACATTTATACAGATCTAGAGTAGAGGTTCTAACCTTCTGTTGTTTGAAGGCTGATAATAAAGATGTGTTTGTGTGCATAATAAAGAGCGCTCTCTGACTTAATTTTTTTTCTTTTTGGGGGACACAGGATCAAAGGTAGCAGATCCATGCTGTTACGGACACACCCAGTTTCATCTTATTCCTGATAAACTAAAACGAGAGAGGTTTATAAGAGCAAATCTTGAGGATCAGATTGAAGTTGTTTATCGAGCTAATGGTATTGCAAGTCTCTTTGCCTGGACAGCAGCACAAGCAATGTATCAAGGTGAGACAGTCAGCTTGATAAATTCTTCCTGGTGATGAATGCCTACTATAAAGTTCTCTAACCTTTTCTTCCCACCACCTTTCTCATGCTTTTTCTTCTGAAGACCATCCTTTAAGTAGGTCTTCGAAAATTTAATTGAACCAATGAATGAAGCAGACCTTATACAAGGGAATTAGTTAAGACTTTGTCTTTGAGTACTTTGACTCAGGGAGAAATAATTACACAGAAAAATATTTTTTCATATATAACACTAAGCCTGTGCAAAAACCTCAGTCCTACATCGACATGCTCACTCCACACTTGCTATGGGGAAAGGTGGTAGATACCAAGCAGGGTTGTTTGGTTTTTTTTCCTGAAGCAGCTATGCTGCTTAGCCCCTTGTTTCAGAAATGTCAATTCTATGAAACTACAGTAAATGAAAGAAAAATGTCAGCAGCCTTACTTTAGGATTTTATGCCTATGTTTGTCTAGGCATAGAAGACCTGGATGGATAGATCAGATCAGTCTTTTGCTTATTCATGTAAATACAATTGTTACCTAGTGTTACTAGAAGATACCTGCTGGTTTGTAGTTTCACTTGTGAAACAACACATGGAAGAAAATCCTTTGACTATGATGTATATTACTGGCTCTGCATCAAATTTTTTATGTAATGGTATGTTAGAAAGCTTGACTTTTTTTGTGGACATAAAACATTGAAGTCAAGTAAGTCTTGGCTTCAAAGCTGGTTACAGTTGTAAGCACATTAAGAGTTAAAAGGACAGTACGATTCAAATCTATGAAGCTAGCTCTTTGTTCTGTAACAGTTTCTAGTGGTGTTCATTGCACATGGTACCAAATATCTTCCAATAATATTACTGTGTGTGCTAGCACACATGCATAAATATGTAAAGAAAATATTTTAAAAAGACTATTAATGCTCAGCGGGGGTTGTTTGAAGCATTAATACTTACTGACATAGTGTTCTTGCTGTGGTCTCGCTGGTTACTATAGTCAGTTATGCTCATGCATACATATACATGCTTCTGTCGTGAAACAAATGTTCACTGCCCTGTGAGAAGTGTGGAATAGTTGAAAGACGTTTCCCCTCACATCACTTGAAGGACTTGGATGCACTAATAACTTGGGTAATTTTGAAAAGTCACTTGGCTGACCAGTGTGGGGTTTTTATCAGTCAGTGATAGGGAACTATGTACAAAATGCAAATATGCCACTGTCCCCCTGATCTTGGAAATACCCTTAATTGGTGGTTGCATTTTAGTTAGTCTGTATGAAGAATGCTTGTGTTGCCAAAGCAGACAGGACTTTTTTCCCTGCTAAGTGGCTGCTGCAATTCCCACTATTTTTCTGTGTTTCAGGATTGGGGTTTTAATATGTGTGCTGATAGGAATTTCGAGTCCTGTATAACTAGTGGTGTTTCTTTATTTTGTAGGATTCTGGAATGAAGCAGATGTGACCCGTCCTTTTGTATCGCAGGCAGTAGTGACTGATGGAAAATACTTTGCTTTCTTTTGTTACCAGCTGAATACTTTAGCACTAACTGTAGAAACTATTCAAAATAACCCTCGGAAGAATATCTGTTGGGGTACAGACAGTAAGCCGTTGTATGATGTTGTGGAAGATGGTAGTGTGAAAGGCTTTAATGATGAAGTTCTGCTTCAGTTGGTTCGTTTTCTGTTAAACAGACCAAAAGAGTTGTAAATCATTGAACAATAAAATATTCCTGTTTATGTGCCTGAACTTCATTGTAACTCCATGAATTATGGGCTAGAATATGCCTTGTTCTTAGTCAAGTATTTGTCTAGCAAACACTATATACATCTTTTGTGGTATTTGGGCCTTATTTCTTTATTTTAAATGTATTATACTGTACACTGAAAAATAAAGGTCTAGAACACCTTAATGTCTTTTGTGTATTTCCTGTTAGAAGTGTAATGCACTAGTTTAAAGTCACGTGAATACTTTCTTGTAGCAGATCCATAGCTCTGTGTTGAACTATCACAGCAAAGTATGAATTCATATGACCATCTGATTATGTTGCTAGGTAACTGCTGTCTTGATACTTGCGACCAGTGAAAAACTTCTCATTTTGTGCCTGAACATAAATTAATTGTCTTAAATGCTTACTCATTCTAAAGAGAAAGTGAACTCAGAATAAAAAATGTTTCTTAAAAGTGAATGGTTGGGAATTTAGTTACATAGCAAGGGAAATCTTTAGACATTTTTTTGAGCAGTAGTATAAACACAATGAAACTTGCTTCCAAAGAGTCTATTATGAACATGTATACACATTTTTAAGCTGCCACCTCAGGCACCACAGAGAGAACTCTCAAATGTACTTGGAGTCTACAGTTTTCCCTTTAGCTTGAGACCTGGATTTCAGCTGTAGACATCTTGATGTCTACATTGCTGATATTTGTATGTCTTAAGGCTGGTTTTAGTAGACCACAGGTCAGCCCAGACCATGACTAGGATCTGCGGTTAATGAGATACAAGATTTAAGGACTGTTTAGGAATATTTACTTATCAACAAGGTGTATCTGGTTTTGAGGTAATTAAACATGCCTAGAATTTTACATAGTTCTGTACACTGCGACTGACCTTTTTGCAATTTTCCAGTGTTCTTGTTAAAAGTCAAATAGTTTGTTTTTAAAGAGAGAGTACTGAATCATATGTGACTCCTGTTCAAATACTTGCCTGCGCGTTCTTCAGCCTGAGCAACTGGGGATCCTGCTTCCTGTTGTAAACTGGCGTTCAGAGTATTTTGCTAATGAAAGATGAGGTAATTGTAGACTCTTACTTGATTGGTACTTTGCTAATGTTGGAACGAGCTATAGTTGCCACTTTCTCCACCAGCAGGGGATAATCTAGGTAAGCAAGATGTGCATGAGTACTGGTTTCTTTTCAACAGATGTAAAAAGTCCTTAAGCACTCTTTTTGTCTTAACAATGCTTGAGTATTACTAGTTCTGATCACTTCTGATCCTTGGATTAAACGAATGTTCCATGTAGGAACAGAAGATAAACTGCTGGGTAGGCATGTTGATTATAGAGAATGACCTGTGATGTAGCTTAAAAGTGAGTGAGTGGTACTTGTATTCTGGTGTGATAAAGGGATGATGCAAAATGAATGGAAGGATATTAAAAAAAACAGTTGGGTATTCTGACCCTGCAGACAATCTTTACAGTTGGTGCAATATGGTATTACCTTAAGCTTGAAACTGTATGAGTTGCATACAAGTAGCGGCTGTGGAAAGCTGACATGTAAAGCCAAAGAAACTCCTGCTCCCAGGGTAAAAAAGCGCTCATTTTTTCTGTAATTCAGCCTTTGTCTATCCTGAAGTTTCAGCTGTAGTAGAGCAAGTTCAAAGAACTTTTTTTCCTTCGCGCAGCTTTACTAGTAACTGAAATACCACTGTAGATGTGTAACCTGGTGGAAAAACCCAGTGTTGGAGTGAGAGAGGAAGGGAGGGCTTAGCGAGAGCTGGCTATTTTGTAATTGCAAAGTACCAACTTCCGCTTTCTGCAGCTATCTCAAAAGGCAAGGGGGTACCCTGGAGAAGCAGTGGATGGCACTGTTTTACCTTCTACTGAGGAAAACGTGTAATAGGCTTTGTTTTGCTTTTTTGTCACTGACTAGCAAAGTTGAGCCATCGTAATGTATGCAGTTTTCTACAGCAATCTTTCATCTTGTACTCATCTGATCAGGGTGTTTAATGTTGCCTTACAATGATAAAGTCAAAAGAAAGCTCATTTTTTTTTCTTTAAAGATTGTATAGCTACCGAATGTTTAAAAGTAGAAAACTTAGAAGCTGCAGCATTCCTGTTCTTGAGCTTTGCTCAGCAGAAACCTCCCATGATTCTACTCCTTTAAGTCTCATGGGAGCATTGTTCTTTCGCACTCTATTTAGTTGAGTTTGCTGTTTAAAAGAAACAAAGAAAGGCGATTCAAAGAACACAGGATGGAAATCTCCAAGTTTGGATCCTTTTTCCTTTATTAATTTCTACCTAGGCCTATTGGAGCATATCATAAGGGAACATAAGGTGGAATCTAAAAATAAGATTTGGTTTTACATAATGAGACAAGTATTTTCTCTAGTACTGAACTATTTTGCTTAAAACTTGTATCACCTTCAAGTGGGTGACTGATCTATGAAATTCTACCTGTACTGTTGTTTCAGATCATGAGACTGCAAGTCGTGACTTGGAATGGAACTGCCTAAGCAGCCTCTCCCAAAATTAAAGCAGAAAGGAGACAGGAAGACTCTGAAACTTTCTTGTATCTATACAGGGTCATGTTGCACTAGGTTGTTGGGGTCGATAGATCTCCTGTCTCTTTCCTTTCAGACAGGAGAAATAGCTTCAACTTTTATAGTGTCTACTTGGTCATGCAGAAGTCTCTCCTGATCTCTGCTGTACTCAGGTTTTCTGTCATTGGAGAAGACAACTGCTCCTTTTGTCTCAGAAACAGATGAAGGTTTCCTTGTTCTGGAGCTCCACTGGGTTTTTTTTCCCTGAGGCAAGAGCAACTCTTGAAGTTGGCTGTTGGTGAGATAGTCTATTGTCAACTTAGCCTGCTGGCTCTGTAGAGACCGTGCATACTGGCAGCGTATCTCTGATGGAAGCAATGAAAGTGGCTTTCCAGTGCATCCTATGCTAAAATGAGCCATCCTCAACCAGTAGTATAACCAAAGTGCACCAGTGTAGGAGATCTGTGAAGTTTGCACTGAGTTAGTACAAAGTCTGGTCTGGTACAAAAGAATAATGTCCTGTGGATCAAAACTGAGTCTAATAAACGTAGCCTCAAGAAGGCTTGCAGAGGAGATTGCACAAGAACTGCTTTTTCATGGAGGAAGAAACTTACTGAGTGCGTTGAAGTGTCAAAGTAAATGGAACATCAACAAGCTGACAATGAAGACCATGAAGTAAGTTAGCAATGACAAAACTTGAGGTAGCATCAAAACCAGACTGGCTGCAAACTGTGTGACTCTGCATGCATTATATTCTAGTAGTGTACCAGAACCGCACTAAGACAAGACCTTCAAGGAATACAAGTTGAGGATCCTAAAAATACCATGAATTAGAAATGTGCATAACACCTAACATGAAGTTCTCGGTGTCTGGGACCAGGGAACAGCAGACGTGAGACCCATAGTTGAAAAAGTTTTGGGTTTTTTTTTCCCACATTCTCTGTCTTCCAACAGAGTGTCATTCCCACCAAAAGCAAGAAAGCCAGTCACCATAAAGCAAAACATAACAAATGCCTGACAAACAAAGGGCAGGTAATTGCTAAGGGAGGAGTGTTCCTGTGATTCCGTTACTGAAACTTACTTTGGTATTCCTGGATAATACTGAATAGTGGTAGAGTTGAATCCCACAACGGGTCTAAGACTGGTAGGGAAAAGCAGGTAACTGCTCCCCCTCTTTTGCTATTGTGAAAGGATGGCAAGTGCAGGTAACACTGCATTTGACGATCTAATACAGGCTGAGGTTATATCAAGAACATGACAGAAATGAGATGTTGCTCAACCAGGTCTAGGTGGATTTGGTTTGAGACATTTGTCAGGTGGATCTTTGGGGGTAGTTCCTGGCAGGGCTGATCATCTTGTGGCTGGTTAGCCACAGGAGAGGTCCAGATAGTATCAAAGCAGCCCATCCTGTTCTGATTCTGGAAACCCTGGACCATGAACTGTTGGAGGATGTTAGTAAATGGAGGCCAGTAATGGTTACAGAGATTGTGCTGCAGCCCTTCTCTAGTATACTGACAAATTATGTAAAGTTTACCCAGTAAATACATGGTAAAATAAATTTTCAGAACTGAGTTTCTTGGAATAATTGGCTGTCCTACATCTAGAAATAGGCTAAGAAGAATTACAAGGTACAAGGAGTTAGCACATGGACACTACTAATACATTTATTAATGCATGTTGTGATGCGAAGGGAGGAAGTTGTGAACCTCGCTACATCCTCCTACAGGAGCAGGAGTTTAGAATTAAAGGGATTATTTGTATCTAATTCAGAATGAAGGAAGGCAGTCTAAAGTCTGCCATGCTATTCAGCCTGGTAACAACCCATTGGTGTTGAAGCTGGAGTTTGAAGATATGAGGTTAACAATTGTTTCCTCAGCTTTGACGATGATCTGGGTGGGCCACTTACACCAGTAACAGATGCCCTATGAGGAGTTTATTTACAATCTTTTCAAAAAATCGTTGAAGAATGCAAAAAGGTAGAAGGACACTTGGCATGCTTTTTTTATGTCTTTGCAGGACTAAGTGCTATCTAGCTTATGCTATCGGAGAGATAAATAATTCTTCCAGACAGGACAGGCAGCTTTACGGTGTCTACTCAGCTGTATTGACCTATAACTCTTTGCAATAATTTTTAATCTATATTCTCTTTTTTTTTATTGTGCCTGGTTTCTGCATAATTTCAAGGTTCTGTCTTTAGCTGAAATATTCTTTGAGTGAACATTCAGTATTTCTTCTTGGTCTTTTAATAACTGTTTGAAGTTCAATTTATTGAACTACCTCTCCTGCTACAGAATCTTCTCTGCATTCTTCTCATCTTCTCTGCATCTTTCTCATTCCCACTAAGTCATGCTGGATTTAATTTCTTTCTTTCCTTGTATAGCAAGAAGAGTTGATCTTAATGTGTCTCCTTTAAAGGAAATCTTCCTTCCATTTCTTTCCTCTTTTTTTGTTTTCAACATTCCTTTAACCTGTAATCAACTCAGTACACTTTATCAGTCCTTTCAAGGGACACAATACAGGATCGTTTTCAGTGTTGGAATGTGCAGCTTCTAACACAAGAGTATCTGCACTGCAATATGCATGCTTTTGTCAGTCAGATATCCCAGAGCAGGTTTAAATTTCAACCTCAAATTTCAGCCTGTAAAGTCTT